CGGAAACCCTCGCCACACCTGGGGTAATAATGAACTTCTTATAGACTGTCAACTCGCCACGACAACAACAAAGAATTTCGTAAATTGAAGGCCGCCTTTGTCCACAATGAGAAGGCAGTTACTGGCTGGCTCTCATTTCATTGTATAGCTAATAATTAGCAGTTAGATCTGATGATCTGATTTGACAAGGATTTCCTTTAAAAAAGGCACCCACTTTTGTTCGAAACACCTAAACAACTTTTTTTTTTCAAAACAATTCAAGATTATTCTTAGCAGTTATATTTTTTATGTCACGTTTTTCAAATTTTTTAACCTGTTGAAAGGAGCTTATGATTCTGATCGGCCACTTATATATAAATGTTGCAAACAGGAGAAAAAAAAATATAATTTCAAATCGTTTAAACATGTCAGTAGTGAACAAGGCAACATTACAGGTTTAACGATATTCAAGGTAGGTTTCCTGACTGGCTATGTTTAAAAAATAAATATTTATGAGGTCAGGGTTTTCAAAGAAGTTCTTCTGCCTGTTACAAATCACACTTAGAGATTTCGTTTTCAAAAAGCACAGTAGAATAAAAGAAAGTATTTAAGTTAAAAAGTTACTTCTTTTCATATTTCGCTAAATTTCATCAAGAGATGGCCGTTCAAAATATGGACAAGCTTAAAGCTTTATGACACACAAAGAAAAAAATCTACTTCGTTTAAACCAGATGAATAGCATAATTGGAACAGGATGGCTCATATCACAAGATATTCAGATTTAAGGACCCCTTTGGATCGTGGGATAGAAAGTGTTTGGACGACCCAAATCATATGGGATATATCCTCCGAAAATAAGGCTTTGCACCAAATGACCTGCTCGGTTGACTGCACAAAGGGGTGTGTAGCTAGAAGGCTTGAACATTTGCCAACTATATAGATACAAGAAGAGACAGTATGTCAGTGGCGTAAAAACCCCGCCTCCACCCCTTAATCGTATAATCTCTTAAAGTGTGCGTATTTATGTATGTATACCTTTTTTTTTGGAAAATCTGTGGTGAATTAAGTTTTTTTCTTCCTGCATAAATACACTGCTGGCTGAAAGCCACATTAAACAAAAGTTTGGCCGAGTAAACAGTGGTGATGTAACAAGCAGATGACCCGAGGCTTATTAGCTGGTATTAGGAACCATGGCTCCCTGATCAGGCATACACAGTATTACAGACAGCTCGAGGCTGGAGATCGGTGATAGAGTAGGTGATTCGAGCTTATAGATAGATCCCGTAAAACAACAGGTGGTTCAGGTCAACACACAGCATACACAGTCCCCAGTTAAAAACATTTAAAACCCCGAGTACAATTGTTTTGGAGTTTCTTCTGTTACTGAAATCATTTGGCCTTTTCCGGTTGAGTTGTAGTTTTGCACATACCAAACACTGACTTGACACTCCTAGATGGCGGTGATCACAGCTTAAAATATCTTGTCCGTACATATTTCAGTGATTAAGGCCACAATGCAAAACATTCATACATTCTCTTATTTTTAGTGTACACCGAAAGATATTGTGTACAAAAAATTACTGAAATTTGACAGCACTTGAGTGGTTGACCTTAGGTGCTGACAAAAGTCTTTTCGAGAGGTTATATATATTTTTAAAGACTGAAATGGGAACATAGCTCAGTATTTCGAAGTCCTTCATATTGAAACCTGCCTATTTAGACCAGGGGATGGTGAAGAGTTCATTATTCAATTTCAGGGGTGAATGAGTTAATGAGTGTTCCAAACACAAACTACTAACCAGACAGACTTGGTGTAGTATGTGATTAAAAAAAATGTGAACATGAAGAGAAATATCTAATTTAAAATTTTGCATAAATAAAAGATTTTTAACTTCTAGGTCAAACTCTTATTGAGCATGTAACTGAATCAATTTCCAAAGTGCAAAAAAAGGTCTATATGTAGGTTTTAGACGGAAACTGGAAGGAAAATTATCTGAAAAACAAATATACCGACTTGATTTATCGGAAGCGTTATTTATATATACAATGAAAGTGGGTCAGTGTTGATCAATATACAATATTTTATTGTGGAAGCCTAAAAAAACATTGAATTATTCAAAAGAAAGTGGAAATAATATTTCATTATGGGGTCCTGAAAAATATTGGATTATTCACCCATAGAGTAATGGAAGTGATAGTTTTTGTAATTATGTAAATAATTAGCTATTCAGTAACACATTTTTAAGGTCATTGTAAAGGAGAATATAAATCATTCTTAACTTGATTATGTGGGCTGAATATGAATGGAAAATAATAAGGTTGGCTAATGTTTCCATGGTAAGTTCCTTTGTTTGTTTGATAACATTTATACTGTAGCACTGTTATGAATATTGTGTATTATTATTGTATACAGTTGTAGAAAATTCACATGGATTTTTTATTTATTTTAAACTTGGATACAATTCTGCAATGGATGTCAAATAATTCAATCTACAATGTAATGTGGAAACGCACAGAATAACATGTGCAAGAAGCTCAATCTTTTATATTCACCAGAGTTTTTAACTTTACCTGTAAAATTATATTAATATGTTAATATACATAATGATATTTAAATATAAATGGCCCTGGCATGAAATCCAATTTGGAAAAGAAGATATAGGATTCAATTGAAATGTCACCGAGCTTTTTTCAGTGTAGCTTGTTGACCATGGGAGTATTGAATTTGACCGTGAAATATTGAATTCTACACTTCAGATTGATGATATAATGTCGGAGATGTGGCCCAAAAATCACGTAACCTTTTGTCAAAAATATGTGAGAGTTCACGTGTAAAAATCTCCTGCGTATTTCCCACAGTTTCCTTTTAAAACAGAATCACAATAGATTGCTCTGTATGTCAATTGTCATTAAAAAAATACGGCAATTTCAAAACTGTGTATTAAAATTTCATTTAGAGAATTTGTTTGTGTTTGAATTCGTTCACAAATGTTTCCAGGACTTGTTGTGATAAATTATCATGTGCATTCATGAATTTGTGTATTTTCTTGATGAGTCGCTATTGTACAGTATAGACCATATATATGATATATATATATATATGAAATGACCCCAAAAAAATAAAATCCTATATTGATGCCAATGAAAATGTCTCGGTAAATGTCATATCCGTTGCTACAATGTATACCTTGAAGCAGGTCAAAGTTGATCCCTGATACTTATATCTGCGGCACAGGTAAAAAATATTGTCATTTTGAGGAGATACCTTGACAAGGCTAAGTAGATATACATCAATGGCCAGACCACCAGGGGTGATTTAGTGCAGAGGTTAGGGGTCGTGTAAGGAGAGATGGCCAGAGGTCACCACAGGTCACCACAGGTCACCTGAGGACACCGAGAGGCCAGTGTAAGTGGCCAGTTACATAGACTATGTGATACTTAGGGTTCAGTCAGAGTGTTATCAGATCAGCTTGCATGTGGCTTAGCTATTACACATACAATCTAGAGCTTCATGGTATCACAATTACTAAACTGGCAGAATGGTTGATGTTCCTTTAACCTTGTGTGACCTCTTCCCTGATTGGGTCTTTTCACGCTATTTTAGACACTGTAAGTGGAGAATCATCATGTTTTGTCCACTTCTTGTTCTCTAGTGGTCAAGTTTTTTCACTAAACTTTTTCTGTGATTGTATTAATTGTGTGAGGAAAAGATAAGCATGCTAAACTCTGATTTGAGAAAATTTAAACTGAGTTTTAGAGTTATAAACACATGTAAGTTGAATTGTGAGAGAACGGGTATGTGTGTTGAATGGTGATTAAATTAAGTTGTAGCAGTAAAGAAACATAAAGTTGAATTTGTATGTGAAAGAAAGGTGTACATGTGTTGAATTTCACTGTAAAATAAGGTTTGGTTTTATTTTACAAAAATATGTTGAAAATGAACTGTGATTTTTCTTATGTGTTTGAAAAAGGATATCATTAGTGAAAAGATTTTAATGTAATTCAACAATACCATAGATGGTTTTATATAAAGTTTGAAGACGAACACACTCGCTGTGTAACCCCAGCTTTCATTGAGTTCAAATATTTTCAGACTGAAAATCTAATTGAGTTATCTCAACAATTCTTTTCCCGTAAGACTTGCTAACTGAATTGTTAATGACTTTTTCTAATTAGTTGCTATTTATAGATTTTGATATCTTTGTATACCGTTATCAGCCAATCTTCGCACAAGCTTGTACTGATTGTGAATTAGAATCCCAAGTCAGCACCGTTATGAATTAAGATGAGTTCACACCATCAATGCAAACTTAAAAATTAAAGTTTCACTATCTGAATGTTTAGCGTGACAGTGTTTTGACATTGGAGAGTAATGCCTACACGTTTAAATTATTGTTTTTTCGGAAAAAATATACAGATGAATTATGGTCCTCTGTCTCCAATTAGAATAGTAATTATGTCGCAGACATTAAAATTCTAGTCATTCCCAACAATTAATTCAAATTATCAATGACTCATCATCTCCATATTTATATTTCTAAAGTAATTTATAACAATGGTTTTATATTAATAGCTATTAATTTCAATATATTAAATTACTCATTGTGATAAAAAAAAAACTATATACACATTCTTTAATATACTGTTGAACTAAAAAAATGGTATGGTAGTTTTTTTCTGTGTGTGGAAATTTAACAGTTTTCAATTTCTAAGGCAAACGAACCGATAAACATGTTATTCGTTACCATAGTTTTGAACTCTTCCAATTAAGGTTGTCAGTTCTATTTAAAAGCTGGTAAATGTCATTGTCATTTCATTCTCTTCTGTGATAGTGCTGGATGAATTTATATGCTTGTCTGTTTTATTTTTCAACTGAACTTCATTTTCAGAAAATTCACTGAATGTAAACATTTTAACATCATATGCTGTTGTTAGGTTTTGGAGGTCCAACGATCGGAATGATTTAGAAAATTTCGTATTTGTTTAGCTATTCAAAACCACGCTTTTTTCTGTCTTTACAGTTTTGAAGACTCGAATAGCAACAGTATGCCGTCAATGTCGAATCCATACCGGCCGATGGATGTCCGCGTGGCAGAGGACGTCCACAAAGCCCGTAAGAACAAGGAGGATAAATACTGCGGGGTGTGCGGCGATCGAGCACTCGGCTACAACTTTGATGCCATCTCCTGTGAATCTTGTAAAGCCTTCTTCCGAAGAAATGCTCCAAAGAGTTTGGTATGTACTTAGATTTGTGGACTTGTCATCAACGTTTATTCTCATAATTCAGATCTTAAATCTGTTGAGCGGGAAATATGAAATATAGATGTGTAGATTTGAGAAAAAGTAAATTTCTGAATTTTATATTTAGAACTGTGTTATTGGTATGCAAAAATTCTTTTTCTTTTTCTCCTGAAATGAAATGTCCAGGGGTCTTTTTGACAGTGTTTTAGAAATGTTGGTTTGGAAAACAAATGAGTGGCTTGTAGGATGTCCTGTGTCTCGGAATACTTTATGCATATTCTAGATATAATGCTCTTTGTTTTCAATTACCACCTCAAGGAATCCACTGCTAAATGGCCTCTAGGTCTCCTTTCCCTTTTCTTTTTAAATTATTATATGCCCTCTTCCTCGATATACATGTTCTGCCAAACACCTTATTATACCAAAAAATTAAATTGTATAATAACAAGGTTTTACTGTATAATGATGGCAGTATAACAAGGTTTTACTGTATAATGGTGGCAGTATAACAAGGTTTAGCTGTATAATGGTGACCGTATAACAAGGTTTAACTGTATAATGATGGAAGTATAACAAGGTTTCACTGTATAATGGTGACAGTATAACAAGGTCTACTGTATAATGGTGGCAGTATAACAAGGTTTAGCTGTATAATGGTGACCGTATAACAAGGTTTAACTGTATAATGATGGCAGTATAACAAGGTTTCACTGTATAATGGTGACAGTATAACAAGGTTTACTGTATAATGGAGGCAGTATAACAAGGTTTTACTGTATAATGGTGACAGTATAACAAGGTTTTACTGTATAATGGTGACAGTATAACAAGGTTTTACTGTATAATGGTGGCAGTATAACAAGGTTTTACTGTATAATGGTGGCAGTATAACATGTATAATGGTGGCAGTATAACAAGGTTTTACTGTGGAATGATGACAGTATTTCAAGGTTTAACTGTATAATGGTGACAGTATAACAAGGTTTTACTGTATAATTTTTGCAGTATAACAAGGTTTTACTTACACCTCTAGCTCACAGGTTTAAATTCTTCATCTGACAAGTTAACTTTGAATCCCTTGAAAAAGCATGAAACTTTAATATCACATGTGTTGTTAGACTCTGATGCGTTGAGTGTCCTTCCTTATTTGGTACCAATCAATATTAATGTAATTATTCTTACAAAAAATCAATGTCCAGGTAGAAACATATTTTAAATTAATTCTGTTTCAAATTAGCACTTGAATTCAACACAGGAGCGTTATCCTGATTCAGTTTGATAATTTTGTATGAGTTGACCATGAGCAAGTTAACGGCGGTAATGCCGGAAATGTCAACATCCAACATATATATCGTTTCTGATCACCACAAACACCTTTTAATTAATTGCCATCGATTAGTATCTAAAGAGACTTTTTTAATCGATCAATACTCCGCAAAGAATTTAAGCCTGACGTGTGAAATTACTACGCGAAATTGATCTGTAATGGAAATATGCATACTTCAGAGTTACAGCTTGAATTTGATCAAATGAGTTAGGTTCCGACACAAAAGCCAGTGAGATGGACAACGGTTGCGTAGAAAAGTGGCTCATTGTAAAACCGACAATATCAATCTGGGAAAAATTACACCGCATTGCATTAATATTTCAAACACTGACTCAGCAATGAAGAAATGTTATTAACAAATGAAAAACTCACACGCCATGATCATAGATGGAAAAAGATGTTACCAACAACAAGCAAAAAAGAAACAAGAATATTTTTAGGAAAAAAAAAATGTAGGGTTAGAAGTCACTAGGAATAGCTTGATAGGATCTAAATGAATTTTCATCAGCGCCAAACCATTCGCCCAAAAACATCCTTTTATATTGTGTATACGTATCTCTTTATCACCTTCCTGTGGCTGCATTGAAACAACTTCGATAACTTTCAACCATAAAACTCACATTTCAGTATATCCTCTAGTGTTGATCATTGTCAATATAAGCATGCATAATGTCTTTTGAAAATAAAATTAAAAAAAATGACATTCTCTTTCGTCAGCAATAGTTTATAATGGAATCGTAATATCCCCTCGACACTGCAAGGATCAGAGATGATGTTGTGTGGCGTAATATAAAAGAGTAAAACAGTATACTCGCCTTTCTTTTATGTTATATCGTTAAACTGCAGCAGATGTACAGATAAACAGTGTTTTGTAATATTCCCTCAGTTAATATGTAGTAAAATCTACCTCGGATACCTCGGTGCTATAGTTTTCATAAACCTCTCTTTGAACTGTTTTTCACGGAGAACATCAGTTAGTCACGCAATGCACAAATAATAAAGTTAGTACTACTCCTACGAGATGGAGTTGTAACGGTACACCTAATCAACTAATTGATCGTACATTTTCAATTAATCATTTTTCTTTACTAAACGCAGTCATGAAAATGAACCGAGTCTTTTACAGACGTAGGATTTTTTGTCGTAAATAGGGCAGGGGCGTCTATTCTAATGACAAATAAAAAACCTGACGTCATGTGCAGTGGGATTGATATTCCAGATATTGCATGCCATGTTACAATTAAGAACAAAGCTTGTGTTTGATTCGTCAGTGGTTCTGATGAAACAGACGTGTATAATAGACGTCCTTTGTACGCGCAGGCTTTCTCCTCAACACCTGACACCATCAGGTGAAACGTAGAAGGAAAAAAATGCCACAATATCCGCGTCAGGAATCGCCAAAATCTCCACCATGTCACTTGCCAAAATTGAAACTCAATCGCTTACTTTTTAAAGTATACACTTTGTATTCACGCAGGTATAGATTCCTGTATGCAAACACTGGAAGGCTTTCTTTCTTTCTTTATTTATTGACGTAAATTTTTTATTTTGTGGCCTTCATATTTGTTTATTTCTATTTCACTTATGTTTTATGGCTCCAAAAATAAATAAATAATGGGTCAAAGATTTTTTAATTGAACTTTTTCACAACAGCATTGTAATGTTTTTAGTAAGCACAGTCCTGTTCAGCACGATGTCGTTCATGTCTTTGCTGTTAAGATAAGGCGATGGTAAAACCATTATTGAGTTTTTCTGGCCTTGATCTGAAGGAGGGCCTTGTGTAAGTATTCGAATATTTCTGTGTACCTGTACTTGTTCACCCCGAGCACTTTAAACCGGTACATTTGTCCTCCCAGTGGTGTCAGTATAGGATAATATACAACCGTAGGAAATCTGACCTCGTTCTGGTATGGTCTAAATCTCAGGCCACAGGTATTTGGCCCTGTGTGTATAAGATACCTTGCTCTCAATATCTTCACAAAGAACATGTACCCTCCTCCTTCTTCGCCCCCTCTCCCCACCTCCCTTTCTACCCAAACCCTCCAATTAGGTAACTAATGGCCGGAGACACTGGAAAAAAATTGTCCCTGGAAAAATTATTAAGACATTCAACCCTGAAAGCATTTATCATAGAAGGCTAGTTAGCTATTATTGTAATCATGTCTAATTTTCGTATAAGTTTACTGGGATAGATCTTAGTTATTCGTCACTGGGCCGTTTCACCCATCAAAGAGAGCATACCTTTCTGTATTGCCCCTGGTGAGGGAAGGCATTGCTGTGAAGTTCTGAGACTTCAAATTATAACCGTGATTTGAAATATTGCCAAGAACATCATTACAGGAACATTTTGAAAGCCTAGGATTAAAGATTATGATCTAGTTTAAACCCATGCCTTATATTACACTGTTAATTCTCTAGAGATAAATTTATGTAGAATATTTATCCTATGTGATTTTATAATGCTTTATTTTAAATCCTAAATTTTCAGTGATTTTTGTTTTCTCCCCATGTTTTTTACAGGAACAATATTTTTCTTTTCTTGTCTCTCATTTTCTTTCCTTGTCTCTCAGTCTTTTCCTTTTTTTTTCTCTCTTTCTTTTTCTTTTGCAATCTAAAGCTTTTTGTAACTTGCTATATGAAAAGGCAGCAAATCTATTATGATGTATCGATTTTAATTTTACTTTCGCTTATTCACTCTTGTAATACTTTGACAAATTATCTAATATCTTGATAATTTTCATATGGATGCAAATGGGAACCCGCAAGATATATCTTAATGACAGGTTTGAATGTAATTTTAATTTGTTAAATAATAAAAAACCGTATAAATATAAATGAAAAGTTGGTGACATGTGTAAGTGCATCCGGCTATTGAGATGCACATAATTAATCATTCATTTTAAATTGTGTGAACTTACTAAACATAACAATATAACTTAATTAATAAGATTGCTGTCATATAACAAATGAAAACAGTTGTCTTATAACAAATGAAAACAGCTGAAAAAAAAAAAAGAAAAAAAATTGGTGTTGTAAAATTTAGAATAATTCAGAGAAACAATAGGAACAATAGAGGTTATATTTATAGATAAATGTCCTTAATATTTACACATTTATCTATTATCTATTCAATAAGGTCACACAGTAGTCTCTGCACACAATAAGGTCACACAGTAGTTTCTGCACACAATAAGGTCACACTGTAGTCTCTACACACAATAAGGTCACACAGTAGTCTCTGCACACAATAAGGTCACACAGTAGTCTCTGCACACAATAAGGTCACACAGTAGTCTCTATACACAATAAGGTCACACTGTAGTCTCTATACACAGAATAAGGTCACACAGTAGTCTCTGCACACAATGAGGTCACATAGCTGAGCCAAAATTTGGAAAATGGTACATTTAGATGTGTTAAGGTACACAAGGAAATCAAAACACTTCAGAGAAAAAATGTGAAAAGTTGCAACAGACCAATTTTGCTATATTCAGTGTCATCTTAGGCAAAGGATAAAAAAAAGAAAACCATTCTTCTTCCGGAGATTTCACTTTAACCAATTTATGTGATCATGTAGTGGGACAGTGCAGGCTAACCTAAAATTCTAACATTTTGCACCTGTATAGGGACAGTGTCCTTAGGATCAAGTTGTCTAATGTATAGACAG